TCCGAACCCACCGCCGCCACTTCCAGTTCCGCTCTCCACTGCCAATCCCAATCCGATAACCACCAACCGGGTTCGAATTTCTCTTCTCAGATTCCAATTTGTCAATCCCGACGAGTTTTCACTGAAGTAGAGCCCCCGTGTCCCTTCGCTCCATCGTCTTCGCGTCTCATTCCTGGCCCTGCCGGAGCCGTCCAAGCGGCAATGCAGCGTAGAACCCGCGGGGATAGCTGCTTCTATGTCGGCGATGAAGAGCCCGTCCCCACTCAGGAGTATATAAGGAGAGTCATGGAAAACGGTGATGAAGAGGACGATGATTTCGGTGGCAACCAGTGGCTTTGCGCTTTGGATTTTGCCCGCGGCCTAGGTTCTTTTTGTTCTCGGTTTGTTTTGTGACTCGAGGAGTGTGAAATTGTTGAAGACTTAATCCAAGGGTTTTTGTAGGTGCGATGGAGGGTAATGGAGCAGTGTCTGAAACTCCTTTGAGTTCTATCAAGAATGGCTTTAATGCTGAGAAAGTTGCTTTGGTAATTTGTATTCAAACCCTTATTTTCGCTTTTCTGGCGTGAAAAATTGTGGAAGCTAGAGAATGACAAATTCCTGACGTCGCCACCATTTTGATTACGGGAGAGAGATAGAGAACCAACGATATTCAGATGATTATTGCTTAAGACCCATTTAGTGGATCTTTATTCTTATATCATTGCATCAAATATTGCTAACATTTCTTCACTTTAGCTTCTTGTCGTTGCAAAAATTCAATTAGGGTTTGGTGTTTTCTGTTAATTCTGTTCTGTGTGGCTGCCTTGTTAGGTCGTTGCCATTATCAAATCTTGTACCTCAAATGGTCTGGGTGGTATGATGGTGACTCTAAAGGTTAGATTTCTGAATATACATCTCCCCATACACACAGAAAGTAGCATTCCAAAATTTCAATATTCTGTGGATGTGAAAATGAGCATGAACTTCTGATGCCAGGATCCAACAGGTACAATAGACGCTAGTATTCACCATAGTGTCATTTCCGAGGGAAATTTTGGGAAGGACTTATCTGTTGGTGCAGTTTTAATGTTGAAGAAGGTTTGATTTCATTATTTCCGGCATTTGGGTAAATTTGATTGGTGTGTGGAAATTGAACCCATTGTCTTATTCTGTCCACAATGCTCAGCGTACCATCATTTATCTTCCAGGTTGCTGTATTTTCCCCAACACGCTTTGTACACGTGCTTAATGTAACATCAAGCAACGTTATCAAGGTATGGTTTGCTTTAAGAACTGCACAAAAAGTTAGCAAGCCTTCGTACTAAGGAAGAAACTATTCTGTTATGAAAACTCTGTTTCTAGTCATATATTCATGTGTACTCACTTTTCCTATATGAAAAGTAAGGCCCCGAAAGAAATAAGGAATCATTTCTAGCTTACTGGACAAAAGAGATTTTTGTTTTTTGCACCAATTGTACATTTCCTTTTTGTTGCATCAAGCAACCAAGCTGAAGGCATCTGTTGTGACAACTCACAAGAGTTGGACAAATTGTCAGCTAGTTCTTGTGCTTGTAGACAAACGTCATCTGTGATTGAACAGCTTATGCAGGCGTATAATGATTATATTAAAGAAAAGTTTGACGCTTAGTCTGTTTGACAGGTAAAGGATATTTGACCCCTCAAAAATTTTTGTTTGTTGGTTTAGTACATGCATTTTCATATTTGTACATCCTGCAGGAAAGATAATCGAGTGGTGATTTATCATTGGTAGTGTCAGCAATTATTATTTGTACTGAGCTATGCTTAGGTCGGCGAAATCCGATTCTTGTTGAAGTCAGCATCTTTACCTTTTAATTAGATGCTATGCCTATGACATTAATTCAGCTCGGGTATTAGGTGACCATATAGTTCAGCCATAGTGTATCTAATCCTGCTAGGAATTGTGTTAGATTCCCATAATGAACTTACTCCTAGGACTCTTTGTAAATTAATCTTAGGCTTAGGAAATATGGATGCAATGAAGATATATAGTTACAGAGCAGAATGTATGGGAAATTCTTAAAGATTTCTTGAAATTTATGATGTTCTTTCCCATTTCTAGTTCATGATTTACGTTCATAAGTTGCATAACTTGGGAGCACGCACTTTATCTTTTGTTTGCCACCAACTATTTTTTGCTTATCCTTTATCCCGTAGGTTATTTCTAAGGACAGCGGACCTCATATTGAGCACAATAATCCTACAGCAATCAGACAGCCTGATTTTATAACTGGAGGTCGACAATATTTTTCATACAAATTCCTGTTTTATCTAAAGCCATATTTATTGTGTATATATCTAGTGGTTTTAGTGGGAAAATAGAAGCTTTTTTCCCCTCATATATGCTTTATTACTGGAACGACTAGGATAAGATGTTTATTTTCAATTATTATCCTTTAACTTTGCAGAAACCATGCCACAGAAGAATTTGTATGTGTCACGCGAAACAACTAAAAATATCATGAACAATTTAAGGCAAAGTTCTAAATCGAGCAATTGCAAAGGAAGTGGAAACAACAGAAACCAACAGACTATCGTCGAGAAAGACAGTGCGGTGATGAACCCGGGTATGTCGAAGGGAATCTCAAATTTGAGTTTCAACACTTTCCTGGTTGACCAAGATCAAGAAACAGGGCAAGATGAGTACATCAACCGTGGTATGGGTACAGATACAAGCGAACTATCACAGGCCAAAGAAAATGATGTTGCTGCAGCCAACGCTACACAAGTTCCACATAATCAAGAAGCTGAAACAATTAATGAAGTGAAAAAGGCTGACACACGAACACAAGGACCCTTACTCCCACAATGGACAGATGAGCAGTTGGATGAGCTCTTTGTATTCGACTGAGTTAATGTAAAATTCTGATGCTTATAAACATGTCCTCAAAGGAAGTTATGGAAATCATTGTCCTGCTGATCTCTGCCCTCGATGCATTTATCTTGTTCTGCAGTCTTCGATCTCGGTTGTTTTGGAGAGGGGGACGAGCAATGCTGCGTGGATTGGTGATCAGCCAAACAGGTTTTCTTTGTAGAAATACATAAATAGAAGTTGAATTGTGAAGAAGTAATATACTTTCACAATGATAGAAATGCCACTAAATATTATATCACTCACAATTCTGCTAACGTTGATACTCCTAAAATTTAAGTGGAAAACACTAAAGAGGATCCAGTTAAATCTCAGATGTGGCCGAGAAACGCTTTAGTTAATTCTAGAGTCTTTCATAAATAGGTTGAAAGATTACATTCATATTTTGAAGATATCAAAAACTATCTCAAATTGCATTGCAATCATACATCTCAATTGATGCTGCTTGATCTCTAAAACATTTTGTTCGAAGATACTACTCCAAAAACATTGAATTTATACTCACCAATCACCATAATAGTATTGTAAGCATTTCTCAGCTCAGCTAAAACTAGGACTACAATCCTCATTGGGTAATGTTGGTCGAGACAAAATTGGATTACAGAGCTTTCGCAAAATAAATAACCAATGTTTCTATGGTCCTAATTAAATCGAATACAAAATCAAGCGGACAACATTATTGGCTCAAAATGCAATCAAATATTCCCAACAGCAAGAACGTCTGTGCGCATGGGAGTGCCCACCACTAGGTTTAGGTCTTCATGGCAGAGAACAATGAGTCTCGCCAATGAGCGATTCTCCGGTCTGGGAAGATTGATTATCACTGAATCAACCTGTGAATAACTTTCTTAATCTCTCTGCAGATACTGATGCTCTTTTGTTAGTTGGCTCGAGAACAAGGGCATGATTAAAATCTGCAGTAAAAGTTACCATAATAACAGTGATCAACATTATAGTGGTTTTATGCTATCCATCAACAAATGATAGTTTGATTGGCATCATAAATGAAGTTACAGGGAGCAAAGAGGAATTGTAGCAAAAAAAAATGTGACGCAATGACATTGGCTTATAAGGAAACCATTAAATTTTGACAAAACCCAGTATCACAAACACCAGTCCAGATAAGAATCCAGCCCCAACAACAAATCATCTGTTCTAGCATGACTTATGATATTCTTAATATGAACTCATCAAGGCCTAAAATAACAGCTGTGAAGATTTGGCAAAATTCACCCAGTAATCATAAAATAGTAGTCAACATGAAGAAACAGCTTACCTTCAATTGCTTCCTTATAATAACCAAGCATCTCTCTCGCTGTACCTCTTCGTAAATAGGACTTAACATTCTGGAAGATTGAAAAGGTTGGGAGATGTTAAAGCAATTATGAACATTTGCTGAACTCAATATTAACTTCGCTGAAATGAGGTCAATGGAGTTTTTCTTTTTTGATTAGTGAAAAACAGTATAATTACATTCAATTCTTTACTACTCTTTCTAATAGAAAGCGCTAAGGAGGATAAGAGAATGATGTGAATAAGGTCACTACAAAAGAAAAACAGAGCTACACGTTCAAATTACAATATTTTAAACATTATCATTTTTTACTAAATAACATTTATTTATTATGAAAGCATCAGAAAAAGCGATAGCCTTCTACATTAATTATCGGGCGCTCAACAAGGTAACCTAACCATCAATAACAAGTATCCACTTTGATTGCAGACTAAAGCAGGATGTACAGAGGTTGATTGATATTAAAGACAAAAAGAATATTGCAACGCTTTCTGATAAATCATTAGGAATAAACGAACAAATGGAAGTCCATATAAAATCAAATTCAGAGCATAAAAGTTTTCTACACCAGTCACCTTTTTATCCAGGTCAATGGCCTTAGTGCAATCTGCCTCTGCTTGGTGGAACCTGAAATGACACCAAGGAAAGAATAAATGATCACAAACCTATAGGAAATGGTTTAGAAATTAGATTAAATCTTTATACATATAAGAGGGAAAAAAAGAATGAAAATACCGTCCAAGCTCTAAATATGCTGCAGCCCTATTACTGTAATATGTTGCATTTCTGCTGTTAAGTTTGATAGCTTCGGTATAACAACCAATAGCCTTCTCCCACTGTTTATCTTTGTATGCTTGATTGCCCTGGTATTCCAAAGTAAACACAAATGCGCCAAATTAGAGGAAAAGAATTACTGCCTTAACAAAAGTATTTGCTGTCATCAAAAAAGGCAATCAGAAAATGTGTATTTTCTTCATAAGATCTACAGAGGACTACAAGGATAAACAGGATGACGTATCATAAACTCAACAGTCAAATGTAGTGCCTTATGAGTTAGCTAAAATTTTCAAAGCCTAGCAATATATTGCCTAACTAAAGCAATGTGGCAAGTAATGAAATCTCTGTGATGTCATTAAGTCAGAAAACTTGGAAAGATGGATGGGGTTGGGGGGAATAAGCAGCAAATACAAAGCTAGTGATTATAGATTACTTGCCACATTGCTGATTGTATCAATTATTATTGGTACTATAGAAGAAATAGTTAAAAATATTTATGAACAGTCAATTTAACATGACAGCAAGGAGGTGACATATGCTACCTGCCTGCAACTTGGCATTGAAAGGGTAGCTGAATATAAATTACTGGACTCTAGACACTAATTTGAATACAATGAACAAATGGTGACCGGATAAGTCATATAAACATTAACTGTAATACTTCTTATTAAACTCACAAAAACAGGTTGATTCTTAACCAGCAATTCTCATAAACTTCAATTGGAAAAGTAATCTAAAAAAGTTAAGAGTGAGAGGGAGCATATGATTTGGAAACCTCACTCCTGAAAAGGTTAAAATATTCTTATGGTCCATTTTGCTCAGGGGTCTTAATACTGCTGATAGGCTTCAGAGAAGGTTCCCACTTGGGCTCTTTTTTCCCCTTCTATTTGCAGCCTTTGTAAAAGGAAAGAAGAGTCATTAGATCACTTGTCTCTCCATTGCCCTTGTGCCTATAGTGGCTGGTGTTTTATTCTGAACGAGATGGGGCTGTCATTATGCCTTCTAAACAGGATGGATGACTGGCTTATGGAATGGCACGGGGCTGAATTTCAGGAGACGTAAGATTCTTTGGTTTGTGCTATGGGAGCCATCTTTATGGCTTATTTGGAAAGAGAGGAACTGTAGAAATTTTTAGGATAATGATTAGTCGAGGTGCGGGCAAGCTGGCCCGAACACACGAATATAAAAAAAATAAAAAAATTTAGGATTAATTGTTCATCTGACTCTTTTCTCAATGGTATAGAACACTTGAGCTTTCTTTTGTAATTATAGCCTTTCCGTGATAATAAGACACTGGAAGGCTTTCTTTTGATCTCTTTTGTTTCCTTTACTTTTTGGGGGGTTCTCTACCCCTGGCCTTGGGTTGTAGCCTTTTTGGCTCTCTGCTTTCAATAAAATTTCCTTTTCCTAAAGAGAGAGAGAGAGCTGATTCGGAGAATTCTTCATAACATTTGTAGCATGAATTTTACCATTAAAACATTCTACAGTCCTGGTAAAAGAGTGAATTGGCCACAGGAACGATTATAAAAGGTAGTGCAACTGCAGAAAGTATTCACATCAGAAATGAACAGGTTGCATACAAATGAAGCTGAAGAGCACAAAGATATGTTCGCATAGAAAATAGACATGGACTGAAGCAGCATCAGAAACCAAAAGGCCAAAAAGAAAAGGTAATTTAATAACAGTTGAAAAACCTTTTCTTTAGCAATTTCAGCCAACTGTTCCTGATTAACAGCATTCTTTGAGAATTTGAATTTGGAAGCAGCCTCAGCCTCTTCTTGTAAAGACTTGTACATTGTCTGCACAGTATCTAATAAAAAGCGATCTGCCCCATGCCTGGCTAAGAATGACACGGACACAGGACATTTATCATGAAATCCCAGTGGCAAAGTGACCTGAAATTAGACAAACATAGATAATATTGCGGGGAAATATGTCACGAAAAAACTCGGCAGTAATAGCATGTACGCTGTCCCCTTCTTAGAACCCCATAAATATGATCATGGGAAAGCACCCAGAGAGAGTGAGAGGAGGCTTGCCTGACAGCAACCCGATATACTAGCAATGCTCAATGAACTAAATACACGGCTCTGGTACTCTTCCGAAAAAATCTCCTTTGCACCAAGTTTAGGAGGAGGATCAGCAGTAGTGGGGATGACCAGAACTCCATCATCCTAAGCAAAGTGTAAATTTTTTGTAAAAATCAAACTAGTCAACTTGATCAAAAGTCTCAAAGAATATTGAGGTGGGGATAATGCCAAAAAAAGAAGATAGGAAATATAACTTCAACATTCATTGAAAAGATCAGATAAAAAATAAGACTGTAATACAAAGTAAAAGAAATTGACTAGGTGGTCTGAAAGTTTGACATGTAGCACACACAAATCTCCTATCTTAGGCAAAAGAAACTTGCGAAGTATATACACCATGTGATGCATAAATGACCAAATAGGAGGTCACGCATTCTATAATGTCAATCTGCTTTAATTCATACGTGGAGTTACTGACTACTATAATTAAAAAACAACAGTGTCAAAATTCAAGGCATAGAACTTCTTCTTTAAAATAAAAAATAAATAAGAAGAAAGGAAAAAGAGACACATTGCAATTTAAGTTATCAAAAAAACAGGAAAGTTCCCATGACTGCTAATCCCTCGTAAATGCTGTTCACTTGAAACCTTGAATGTAAAATCTCTTAAGGTACAAAAATAGCAAGAAACTGAATGTCAACGTGATGCAGCAAATAGAAAGTAATATATTTTCCTCAATTAGAATAAAATACCTAAACAGAAGCAAAATGGATGGCTTTTCCTAAAAGATTCTAAAGCTTGATATTTGTCTTCAAGAAAATTTGTAGTCCTGATGGAAAAATCTTTTATTTCCCACCAAAAGATCCAAAGGACAGCTGATTTGAACATCCAAATATGGTCAACCTTCAATTATTATCTTTTTGTCTAGAACATCCAAAAGGTCTCATATAATGTTCGCAATTCATTGTCCATCAGGAAATTTGTGGAGTAATAAATCACAAAAACACAAACACATTCAGACTCAAATGTAACTACACATGTATGATTCAAATGTCTGATTACGTAGTTAGGTAGTGTTATTGAACTGTGCTCTTACTTTTTTTTTTTATGAAAAAAATAACTTTCATTGAGAACGAATGAATGAATACATGAGTGTTATTGAACTATGCTCTCTTAATCTGATTGCAAAAACTACCATATACACACAAATTCTAAATTAACAGTATTTTCAATGGATGAGCTCTGAGGAGGAATGAAACTATTTTATCTCAAAACTCAGGAAAAAAAATACATCTTTCCTATTCGTTTCTAAATAGTCGCTAACCCTCCAAGCATGAAACTATCACATAAAAGATTCATTCATTTCCAAAGTTAACAAATAAACAGCAAATGAGGATGGTCTCCCAACAAATACAAATTTTCTTTTAAATAGTACATTGAAAATATTACAAAGGCATCTCAAGTCTACGACACAAGTTAAGGCAAATGCAATAAAGTAAACTAAAGCACGTGCACAAACATTACCTTCAAAAGAGAATTAATAGCTACACGGGCATCATTTCTAACAGACTTGAAGTTTTCAATTATTGTATCTGATGTCTCCAACTTCTCATTTAATTGTTCCACTAACTCAGGATCCAAAATTGGTTTCACTGAGTCAATCCATTCCCCATGATTGCTTTTAAACTCAATCCTGTAATACAAGTTTGAGATAAGTTAGGTCACAGGCCTTCTACTAATGGTAGCAGATCAAGGAGAATGAGGGGAAAAAACATCCTTCCAAGAATACACAGATTTGAAAGAGAACCGGTGTTTGATAATGACACTACAAAAGGCAAGCTCATGTTGTTTGCCCCATGTATTCAAAGTAACATCAGGTAAGTTAATCCAACATCAATTAAGGTTGTAGTCACACCTGTCAAGAATCTGCATCATATTGGCCAGATTTCTAATTGAAGAAGAACTCAGATCGCCATTTGCCTTTTTCCCAATTAACTCTCTCAACTTTGGAACTTTAGAACTCAAATAGCTTCCAAGATTTTCGTGCTTCAATACTTGTCCTAATGAAAAATATTGTGTTAAGAGTGACTCAAGAAATGAAATTTAGATTCTTTGAGAAACTTAATAGAGATTCACTAGTAACAAATTTACAAAGGGCAAAAAAGGAGAACATACTGCCAAAGAGGTTCTCAGTTGATCTGGCCACCGCCTGAGTAACCCTGTCAACAGGTATCTTCAGTATTTGAAAGCAATCATTGGCTATAATAATTTGTCTAGGATTGCGTTGAACCGCGTATGGAAGTTGCAAAAGCACATGGCCGACACGACGGAGAATATTAGGATCCTTAGCAAGTAATCCTGCCATAGTACAATAGAAGCTCAACAAAATGAAACCAAACGGGATTTTTATAAGGGGGAGACAAGATGCCCACCAAGAACCAAAAGACAAAGATATCAAAAAAGCTACATACCTTATCAAATGAAAAGCAATGAAAAGTTATGAAACTCAAGGACAATATGAGAGGTCACATGCATTAGGAATTAATGATACTTCCATAAATGATAAGACTAACATTAACAGATAACCTAATGAAATAATTTTCCAAGCCTGAAAGTATAATTGATCTGTGCAAAATTGTCTACATTTACTGTTCTTTTACCTAAAAGTAAGATTCTATCAGTACAACTAAAAGGGATGAGAACTACCAAACATCTTGTCAATAAAAAATGATTCCATTCAGAAGGGGAAACAAAGTAACCCCACTGAAAAGAAAAAGGGATGGGGAAAAAGAAAAAAACACTAGAGGCACTCCCAAACTTTAACAAGTATTCCCTCGATTGCTTTCCATAAGATGATGATCGTTTCTAATAGAAGACTAGAAAGCAGCAATGAATTGAATTCAGCTTTAAACTTCAGCCGCCCAGAACTTTCTCTTAAAATAATGACCATCCAAACGACCCAGACTGCTTATATTCCAAAGAATGACCGCAATCTTACATTCCAAATAATTTACACTTCTTAAAAGAGCAGTCTGCTCATCCAAAAGAACCAAGCTGCTTAGTATGTAAATCTGCAAGCCTTGTGCAATCTGAACGTAGGGGAAGAATTCAATCTATGAAAATAAAGAGGCAGTGAACAAAAAAGCAAATAGCACAATCCTCGTTTGTGTTTTCACAGAGGATATGCTGAGTTGACGGCACTAGATGGAATCCCATATCAATGTGAGGTTCTTCGATTTATTAAAAAATATTCAAAATAAAATAGATTCCAAGCCATTTGCCGTGTAATTTTTTCTATTTGTATCAATGGTAGACCAAGAGCTTCACCAGCTGAACGAGGTAGTCACATATCTATATCACCAAAAAATAACTACAATGGCTCAAGTTCACTGACAATAGCTAGAGAACAAGCAGGCATAAAAAATGTGGATGTACATACCAACAGTGTCAAGGCTTGTTGCTACAGGTATGATTCCAACTTGGGAAACAGATCCGTATGATGGACGAAACCCTAAAATGCCACAAAAGCTAGCAGGTATTCTCACGTCACCAACAGTATCAATACCTGCAAGGTATAAGCCAAGATACGTGTCATGTCACAAGACCAATAAAATTAGAAGAGTAACATATGTTTTCATAGTTTCTAAGCATTGAAAAACTCTGAAGTTTATGTGACCAAGTGTTTTTCCCTTTTTAAGGAAAAAAAAGAACAGAAACTTCACTAAAAAAAAATCCAAAAAGGCCAAAGAGACAAGACATCGTCGCCTTCCCCAACTGGAAGAATTAAGCAAAATATCCCCAATCTAGGTTAACCAAGGAACCCATGATAAAACCCTTGAAACAACCAGGGCCCCAGGGAGAATAGCCACTCTTGGGTTTTTCTTTTGAACTCCATCAAAGGCGACAATTTTGGAGTTGAAAAATATCAGAAACAGGAACACCGAACACCTCTTTTGCTCCCAAAATGGCTGTGGGGGTCGTCCATGAGAATAACTCCTTGTGGATAAGTATGATTTCAAGTATAAAAGCATTAACCTAGTCTGGTATACTAATGAGTTTGTGGAAAAAGGAACTTTGGACTGTGGGTGGATATTACAAAAGATAGAAGTCTGTAGAGAAAGCAAAGATTCTGGGAGGATTCATGGCTTGATAATACTCCTCTGAATCTTCAGTTTCCTGATATCTACAGAATCTCCAATGCCAGAGGTTTCCTGGTGAGCAAGTGTTAGAATGAAAAGCATCAAACTTGGAGCCTTCAGCTAAGAGGAAATATTTTTGATAGAGCTCTGACAGTGGTCACTTCTTTATCATAAAGTGGAAAGCATTTTTCATAAATCAAAATGAAGACACAAATTTCCAACTAAACAATAGGGAAAGTAGACTATGAGGAAGGCCACATGGCCATATCAACTATGCTCTTTCAAAGAAGATTTGGGGGAGGAGAGGAAAGATCAATCCTTATGTATCGTCACAGTCACAGACTTGGGATGTCAATTGCCTACAGGCATTAAACATATTGACAGACGGAAGAATATACATAAGTCAACATTTTTTTTTGTCAAAAAAGTTGAAGTTCAAATGAATAAAATATGCACACCATCAGATTCATCTGTAACAATATTTACAATAATAATAATAATCAAATTAATATGTGCAGGTTTTAAAAAATATATAAAGGAATAGTAGATCAGAAGAAAGGGAAACTTGTGATGCTAAAGCCAACAACAATCTTTGATGGGGGAAAAACACTTGGAAGAAAATTTCAATGTTTTTCAGTTTAGACGTTGTCCTCATTTCATATGGGGGAAAATTAGGGTAGTCCACGTGAAGGTGCACATAGTGATGATGCCCTTGATTCCTAAATGGGTGGAATTGGAAAACCTGTTCGACAGAGATTGAGACATAATTGAATGGCCGGATACAGAAGATTTAAGAAACTTACCCAAAGAGAAGTCAACAAGATTAGCAGCTACTGCAACAGCAGCTCCACTGGACGACCCACCAGGAACTCTAGAAGGTGATGCAGGATTTGTGGGTGAGCCATAATGTTTGTTTTCTCCAGAGATACTGAAGTTAAGAAAAAGTAACTATAACTCAATAGATGATCTTAAATTGAAACTCATGAAATTATCTAACATCAGAATGCGAGATTAGAAAAATGGAGCAGGTAGTGAAGTATTGTTTCTACAAAATTACCATAATCTAAAAAAAATGTGGATTTGACTCGAAACAAAATGTCAGAATGAACACCTCCTCTTGACAATGAACCAAAGGGCACCCAACCAAATTAAAGAGTATGCTCACTTGCTTGAATAGAGCTTAGAGAAACAGGAAAGTTTCTTGTCTGGGATCCGCAAAACTAATGAACTTTCATTGAACCCCTCAGAAGTAAAATTGAAACATATAAACCATTTAAGAAAAATATTTACCTCATTGACAATTCACTGGTAACAGTTTTTCCCAAGCAAGTTGCTCCTCCTTCAACAAGAGCAGAAACTACTGGAGATGTACGAGAAGCTGCATTATGTGTTCTTGCCCAGTCTGGATGACCAAACCCAGTCACATGTCCTTCAATTTCAAATCTGATTATTACAATATATAAATCCTCCACTTTAGGGACCAACTAGAAAATGTTCGTATAAAGAGCATAAACGTGTAATCATGAATCCATCACAAAATGTTAGACGGTTACTTATCAAATTCTTCTTTTTTAATATGAAACCAAAATTTGATTGAATTAAAGGGTAAACAAAACAAAAAAAAAAGCCTGAACACAAAGGGAGTCTACAAAAACAAGATAGAAATTACAAAGATAAGCTTCAGCATCGAGAATAAAAATAATAATAGTTATAAAGGTGGTTTGGACATAGAGAACCAAACAGAGTAATAATTGATATTAATCAAATCTCACACCTCCTCGCAACTCCCAAGGCCTCTAACCTGACAATTCTCCAATTCTTCTCAGGTCACATATTCTATAATTGCCAAAAAAAGATGGCTTGACAATTGTCATATTATATACTCAAATTCTAATAACAACAAACAGATTATTTCCACACTTCAAACAACTTTTATGGACTCAGCGGTGTGTTTTGTACAGAGACACTTCTCATTCTTTTTGGAGCCTCGGTGGTGTGTTTCGTGGAGAGATGTATCGAAAGGCCTAATTTGCTTTGGGGTGTCAATTCGCCCATGCGATTTGGAATCATTTCTTGGAAAGTTATGGGGTTCCTTTGGTGCGGAATAGAGTTTGTCAATCTATGTTCGAGAAGGTCCTTTTACATCCTCCCTTAAAGGGGAAAAGAAGATTCCTTATGCAATAACAGCACAAAACACACCACGACGACAACAAATACTGAAATGAAATAGTGTGAAACCTACACGTCGGAAATGGCGAAGGTAAGACCGGTCAGGGGATGAGGAGCTTTGGGAGGAGCAGGTTGAGGAGGAGGAAGCAGCTGAAGCTTCTCGATAAACGCTCCAAAGTCCTCTCTAATAGCTTTCTTAAGCTTTTTGGTCATCAGCAGGATTCCAGCCAAACCCAATCCCAAGAGGACCCATAGGTTTGCAGAATTGGACGCCATGGCTGCTCGCAAGGTGGGTCTTGGAAACCCTAGAGGCGTATTTCCGATTCTGCAGAGGGTTTTGGGCGGAGACAGAGAGAAGATAACGATGTGAGTAACCGGCTCGGAGATATTGACAATGGCGAGGGCTATGGTGGAGGCTTTTCTGTTCCTCTCTCTCTCTCTCTCTCTCTTTGGTTTTGGGGGGTGAACCGTGGATTTATTTTATTAATTTTTTTCTTAGAGAATTTATTTATTTTTCTTGAAACTATGATTTGTTTTATATTTTTCAACATAAATTATAAATGGATGAGTAGTTATTATTTTTTTTTATAACCCTGTGTTCGGCGTTTACGCGTACCTCGACTATTCACGGGTCAACCTTCTGATTACAAAAAAAACTTATATAGATGGCTATCATAATTTGAACTCATTCCCTCTAGATTGATGAGTAGTTATGATCTAGTAATTTTTAAACCAAGATGGAAGTTCAATTGTAAATTTAGTTGTACAATTTTAACCTGATGTATGATCATAGGCTCCGAATAAAACTTGAAGTATGCCTTAATTTAATGCTATGTTTTAATTTGATATGTGTTATTATTATTATTGACAAAAATATTGACGTGACATATTTATTTATTAATTAATTTTTTACGAAATCCGTGTGAACCAAGATCTGGTTAAATAATTTGTTCGTTTAGTTCAATTTGATGATAAGAATT